TACTTTCTTTCGAAATGAAGAGCGGTCATGATAGTGATAGTGTCAGCATGTAGCCCTCGTGTGTTATCATTCGATCGGCTGGAACGCCATCTCCATGGAGTGCTTCACTTCCGTGGAGGTGGCGTTTACCGTAGGTAGGGCGCCGCTAGGCCGCCAGGGGAGCGCTTTTCGCCGCTGAAACGAAACGTTGCTTTCCACCCCCCCCCCTCCCCCCCAGAGCTCGGCCCCCATTTACATTAGGCAGCTTCCTCCTTCTTCAATATCCAATTTGTTATACCGCCTGCCTTCACAGGTGTCCTAAACCATGGTGATCAGAAATAAGGAACGCTGTTGCAAATCGCTGGTCCACCAAATCCATACGAGAAACCCATTTTACACCTTTTTGGAATACGCCATGCTGACATGTGTGGTCTAATTTTGTAGTTATGGTTGAAGGGTTTGCTGCCGTTCACGCAAACAATATGGGTGGTGAATTTACTATCGGACGTAAGCTGATCTATCTGCAGATTCGAATACGTGCGCAGCGAGGCCAAAGGCTCATTCTCAAGAAGTCTCCATAGAGGTGGCACATGTGCTAGACCAGTAGATGAGCTGAGAAACAAAAACGATAAAGCGATTTATGTATGGCGATGCAGAATGGCTCGCCCTCCAGCATCTAGGATTCCTCCACAGGTCTGCTCAGCGAGCCCATCTGCGTCTCCATATTTCGCGTTAACCATCCCTCAGGTCCCAGGTACTATAAAAACTTTGGTTGCTTCGTAGTGCAGTGGCAACAATGCTATTTGTGAGTCGTCGCGTCACTGCTTCAAGATCGCCCCCGCCGCAAGTTTTGCCAACGATGTGGGGATGTTCGCCGCCATTTCGCCTAGGATCACATCGCATCTTCTGAATTGCTTATCCCTCAATAACGTTCTCCTATCACCACCTTCGAGTGTGGGTCTATACACGTTACTGCCATATTACGATTATAGTATTCTACTGGCCTCCAGAATTTCAACTTGGCGCACGAATCGTTGCCCGGCCTTGGCCTTCTGGGGCCACATAGATGACATTTATGAAGGGAAAAACACTCAAATCTTCCATGGATGGTACCGGCACTATTAGAACTTATTAGGATGGTAAGAAAGTCCTGAGCCGTTTGACACTTTTTTGTGCTTTACTTTTTTATTCCGCGTACAATGGAATCTACTCAACAATATAATCACCATTGTTACTCACTACAGAGTCCCACCTAATGGGCAGGTCAGCGACCCCCTTCTCCCAGAACTGAGCAGACTGAGAGTCAAAGAAATCGCTGACCGCTCTTTCAACGTCTTCAACTTTGGTGAATTTTTTCTTCGCTAGGAATGCCTTAAGGGGATGAAATAAGTGATAATCAGAGAGGGCAATGTCAGGGGAATAGGGTGGGTGGGAACCGCGTCCCAGATCAGCTCTTCCAATTTTGCACGGGTCTCTTTAGCTATGTGGGGCCTGGCGTCATCGTGGAGTAGGTGGACAGAAGTTCGTCTCGGTCGTTTTTCTCGAACAGCGTCCGCTAGTTTCTGGAGCTGACTGGCGTAAATGCTGCCGGTAGCGGTATGTCCTTGCGGGAGCAGCTCATAATACAACATTCCTCGCGAATCCCAGAGGCAGCAAAGAAGACAGCTTTTGGGGTGAAGGTCCGATTTTGCTTGTGTCGGCGGGTCTTCTCCTCGAGGGAGCCACGGCACTGTGCTTGTTAGAATCGTAGAGGAACCAACTCTTATTTCTCGTAATCA